AGAGAAGTAAATAGACATTAATGTTCCATATCTAGCAAATGACCACATTGGCATAAAAATCTGAAATCCCTAGCTAGACAATTTATGAAAGGATGCCCTTTTGTAGATCTCACAATAGCCTGACTTTCATTTTTTAGTGGCTTTATTCACTCCCACTCAGTGATGAAGTGACTCTACTGTTTGAGGCCCAATGTTACAGGTTCAAGTCAGAGAAATGAGTCATGTTGGAAATGGTCCCTAGAAATGCTTGCCAGAAACATAGATGAGTTGGGCACTAGCACTTAAAATGACTTGCTCTCCCCCACCCTGCCCCTTCCCGTATTAGTTTCCTAGGGCTGTAGTAATGAATTACCACAAACAGAATGGCTTAAAACAATGGGAATTTACTCTCTCACATTTCTGGAAACCATAAATATGAAATCAAGGTGTTGGCAGGACCATGCTCCTTCTGAAACTAGGGAAGAGTACTTCCTTGCCTTTTTCTAGGTTTCTGGTGGTTGGCAATTCCCCGGCATTCATGGGCTTTCGGCTATGTGACTCCAACGTGTTTCCATCACCCCATGGCATTCTCCCTGTGTGTCCCTGCCTACCTGGGGCTGTCTTCTTACAAGACATCAGTCATGCTGGATTAAGGGCCCACTCCATCGTGATCTCATCTTAATTTAAATTATAGCCACAACGACTCTATTTGCAAATGAGGTCACATGCTGAAGTACTGGAGGTTAGGGCTTCAACATATCTTTTTGGGGGTAAAGTACAATCCAACCCATAATGCCCACTATTAACTTTAATCCTCTTCTGCCAGTAAAACTCTTGTATGCCAATTGAGTCCCTACATGGTAAGAAAATAGAATATGAGCAAAGACAGAAGTCCCCATTGGTTTATAATGTTTTTTAATTTCTTCCAGAGCATTTCTACTTAATGTCACTTGATGAACACAACAAAGCATATTGGTTTGATATTTAATCTCAGGTTCATAGCTGAGAAACTTAAATGTGGAGAAGTTAAATGCCTTCCCTGGTAGCACCCAAGTTATATGACTCAAGCAGCTCAAGTCTCCTGAACGCCAGATCTATGCTGTTCCCCCTAATAAACTGAGCCTAATATAAAGCCTGAACCATTTGGGTCCATCGGCACTCAAAATACAAACTGGATGTTTTCAAATTAGATAAGGGACTGGCATAAAAGGCCAACAAAAGGGATCTTTGTGGTGATAAAACTGTTCTGAACCCCGACTTGGGTTGAGAACTAACCACGAACTGTTCTGATAGCCAGGAAAGCTGCTGCCCCACCAGACCCCTTTTGTTCCTGCTGGTTGAGAGCCTCTCCCTACACAAAACCACAGGCCACCTAAGCAGGCTGCACTGACAACCTCGGAGGGGCCATGAGGTCAGGGCACAGGTAATTCCAAAAAAAAGACAGAAAATTTCCTTTCTACCACCTCTTCAATAAAGAAATGGGCATTTCATTGAAGATATCAAAGCAGACAGCACATGTGCCCACTCTCACACTCTGTCCCCATGCTCAGCCTCCAATCACCATCTTACCTAAGATCTAATGTAAAGGAAAATGACGTAGTGCCATGTAGCATGGTAATGAGGCCACAGGCTTGGAGATACACAAAGATCTGTGTTTGAGTCCCTTCTCTGCCCTTGCCTAGCAGGGTGGTTTTAGACAGGCTGCTTGTCCTCTCTAAGCTTCAGCTTCATGCAGACGACAGTGCTATTTCCCAGGATTGTTTTGAGAAGTGACTGAAATTGTTCGTGTAAAACTAAAGATTACAGTTTAGTAAGTGTTCAGTAGAATCGTGGGTCTTCATCTGGTGGTCCACATGTGAAATATGCAGAAAATGTTATGGACTCTATTCAAAAGTCTGTTGTGCTGCTGTTCCTATTTCAATTTCTATTATTTGGTTTCTGCCCCTGGGCATAAGATTTGTTGCCTGTTTGATGCTTTCATTTCTAACCTCAACTAATTTTCACTGAAAGGCCATTTTTCATTCAGACTTTTTTGAAAGAGTTCATCCACATTCCAGTAATTTTGGGGTAAGTTTAAACTGGCTAACTTTTCACCTTTTAACAACTTCTACTTCAACAGCTGTGTTAGTTTGGAGACCCTGTCTTTTGCTCACATTTGCCATCTTTTGCATCTTTCCAACTGTCTCTCACCTGATCATTTCTAAGACAAAGAAAGATTTGTTCCAATACCTGAAAGCCAGAATATTTGATTTCGGTTGAGTCTCTGATAAGGAGCTCCTCTGTAGTTACAGGCTGGCACTTTGAGATGGAATGACCAAGATCCTAACAATAAGAATCATTTCTTGACTTCACAAAAATGTTTTTCTGATCTCTCTCCATATACCCCAAGATGATAAAGGCAAGTCAACATTCCCTAAAAAAAATAATTACTCTTGCTGGCAAATCTAAATCTAGTGTAGAACTATTAACTATTTGAATTGACAATTGAATTTGATAGAAAGTTATCTAAGTTTAGAGGCAGTTGTTAATCATCCAGAGAAAATAAGCTATTTCACATGATTCTAGGAACTACTTAGACCAGTCAGCCCCAGGTGGACCTGGTTGGCTTGTTCTCACTGTGAAACTATCACATGGGCCTGTACCAGTCTAAATCCAAAAGGGGATCCCCATACAAAGATTAAATAGCATATTTAAAGTGTCATTTCTTGGGCTGCAATGAACCACGAACTTTAGCACAGTCTAACTAAAAACTATTTTGTTTTATTTTTGGTGGAGAACTAAAAGAGGGTTAAATATTGGTTCATGCATTTCAATTCAACATTTATTTTGTTTTCAGATTTTTGAGGTAGTCTAGCTATGTTCCACTAATGAAAAATTTGGAAAAAAATAGAAAGGTACAAAGACAAATATAACTATCAGCTATAAACTCAATCATATATTAACATCTAAACATTTACCTCACTCTTGCTTCCCTGCAGTATTTTTACACAGTTGGAAAAGTTGTATTCCTGTTTTTTTCAACTTAATGTTAATACATGGCAATATTTCCATCAACACCATTTTATTGATGGCATCCCTGTATATAAATACATTACCATGTGCATAAGCATCTTGATAACTAGGCTTACAACATTTTTTAATGAATGTTTCTTTAAAGAGAATTATGTTTTTATGAAATTCAGACAATAACAAAAAGCATAAGGAAGATAAATTGGTGGTTAAAGTTTCGAGTGTGGCTATGGTGATTTGAAAGCTGCAGAAAAATATATTGATATTGATAACTGCCATTTAGTGAAGATCCATGAACTGGCAGGCCCTTTGCAATCATATTTCTAAACTTCACACAACAATCCCCAAATACCAGAGTGTTATAATTACTACTTTACAGGTTCAGAGATCATACAGCTAAAAAGGGGTACAGATATTGAACACCTGTCTGACCCCAAAATTATGTTTTCTCCCGGTGATATCATACTGCCTGCCATCGTCACCTCCATTCCACCACATCTATTCTACCCCCACGTCTACCATCTCCACCATCACCTCTGCCATCACCTCCATACCTACCTCACCACTCCATTCCCACCCATAGAGCTTATCATCTCCACCACCACTTCTCATCATCTCATTTCTGCAAACCCTTTCTTCCCTTCCCATCATATTCTCCCCCTCCCCTGCTTCCCTCTGGCCCCCAACTTGCATTTCCTCAAGTGCCTGAGTAGCAAAGAAAGCAAAGGCCACCCTACCACACTCATTTTATAAACAATCCCAATCATGCATTCATTCAACAAACACAGACTGAGAACCCACTATGTGGCAGGCATTGCTCTGAGCACTGAGAGTGCAGTGATTCCCCCATGTACAGGATTTTCTTCATTCTCACACACACTATTTCCCATATTAAACCTACTTTTGCAAATTATCCACCTGTGCCTGCGTTACCAGCTCACACTGCTGAGCCTCCATACTGGATGAAAAGCAGAAGTGAGCTGTTCAAGAAGGATCCGCCAGTCAAAAGGAAAGTCTCTGGCAATAGTCGTGAAGTAATTTCTTATCTTGTATTGCCACAGCAACCTACCGCAGGAAACAACTTCCTATTTCCATCCTCAGATGATGTGTATTTGCTCGGCACAGCTGGCCCGCAGTAGTTCACACACAGACCCTCTCCAGAAAAGATACTTGATATAATAAAGAGGAAAGGAAGGAAATTAAAAGGTAAAGAATGAACAGAGCAACAAGCACACACACTGAAGTCCTTTTCCCCCTCACTGGCATGAAAGAAACTTGTATTCTTTCTGTTCCTATTTTCTATGTAAAATAATTAGTTGTAGAGCCATCAGACTCCATGTATGACTAGACAACGCGTAGGATAGTACTTGGTACACACAGCCCCTACAGACTAATGAAATTCATTCCTACTGTCAAGGATGTCGTGGCGGTTTATAACTCTGCCTCCTACCGTTATATTTCTTTCACATATACACAAGCAAAGAAAACCAAACACCCCAGGTGTGCTGAAACCCTCGGGACCAACATTACGCGAGTTCTCATTTTCATAGAGATAATTGGTCAAGCCTGTGACTTAAAAGTAAAATCCCCTCCAGCTGCCTGCATATTAAAGGAGATTCTGCACAAAGAACACACTTTCTCAAAAGAGGGTGGCCACAGAGTGCTTCCCCAGGTGAACTCCTTGGGACCCAAACAAATGCTCAATTGTGCTTTTCTTAATTGAACAAACCCATGGTACAAAGTCCAAGCAGTGATAATACAACATCCATTTAAGAAACAGAGAAAAGCAGAGTGAGTATACAGTTCTTCTCAAAAGCTGAGAGATTTAGAGGGACATTAGCCCTGGGCTTTCCTGGAACAGATTTATGAAGAGCTGAGCAAACATTATACCCCAAGAGTTACATTTTAGAACTCACCGTTCTAAAGAGAGTGCTAAGTTGACAACTGCTTTACCACCCTGACATGCCAAGCAATGACTTTTCATGCATCAGTTAAGGAGTCATTTTACTTACATACAAGAAAGAGTAAATCCAAGAGCTGGCTCTTTATCCCTGAGTTAAGAAAACTCATAATACTCTGAGGCAAAGGTTAGAATTCTACTGTCAGCCGCCACAGCTCTGCAGGCTCCATCTATGCTCCGTCTACACAGGATAAGCATTAGAAGCTGAGCAGAGAGCAAAGCTCTTTAAAAGAAGAGGAAGTGTCATCTCTACTTCCTCAATTGTATTGTTCTTCCTTCTTATTGTTATTGAGCCCTTCTTTGATTCCAAAATCCAGGACACAATACTTGCAAAGAAGGCACATGGCACCCGTCTGACTTCATCAGTCAACACATGTATGAAGCATTACATGGTTTTCCTTACCTGTTTTGAAGGCAAAGATGCTTGTTTACAGTCACGGGGGATGGATCATTTGCAGAGCTGTTCTCAGTGTGTTCAGCCGGGATGCCACTTTTTAATCATCAACCTCTTTTCCATTCAGTCTTCTTTCAACTTCCCTTCTTTCTTCTAATAGTTCATGAGATGCTACTAAATAGAAAGTATGGATAAGTGTGTAAAAAGCATTTTAGGATAAAAACAAGTCTTAGCCTACATTTTTTTGCAGCATAAGTAATAGATTCTCTTACATCAAAACTTTTCTTTCACACGCTAGAAAAGGAAAATGACAGGCTGAAGGTTAGAGATACTTGAAAGCATCACCAATAAATTTCTGCCCTCCCACCTCTGCTTTCCAATACAGGCGTCTTGTTTCTCTACACCTTCAAGACAGTAGCCCTGTATTTATTCTCTGCTTTCAAAGAACAGGAAACACATCATTAGAAATGGGCTCATGACTAATGCGTCTTCCAAAATGTAGTGGCTAAATTAGCATGTGTGTGAGTTATCTGCTGCTGTGCGAGAGATTACCTTGACGACACTGGAGGCTTAAAACAGCAAATACCTATTACTGCATAGTTTTTGGGGGCCAAGAATCGGAACCCAGATTGGCTGGGTTCTCCCACTAAGGATCTTCCACAAGGTGACAGGCAAGGGACCAGCAGGACAGCAGTCATCACAAGGCCTAGCTGGAGACCAAAACTCTTCCAAGCTTGCTAACTTCATTGTTGGGAGCTGTCTTGCCAATGGGTTTCAGCCCCAGGCAAGTTCACTATAGATTCAGTGAGACAGAAAAATGACAACAGAACATTCTTGGTGAAAGAGTTTATACCCAACTTTATTCCCACGGTGGCAGGTCAATCACTAGAATCCTGTCCACTCAGAGCGAGTCTGCACGCAGCAAGCCAGTCTCTGCCTCTGGGCCTCTCTGTCCCCGCAGCTGTCTCTGTCCTCGGCGCTGCCACCACTCCAGCCTCTGCTCTCCTGCAGCTGTGCAGTGGCCGTGCAGCCATGTGTGTCGCCCAGAGCTCTTTATATAGAATCAGTAACAGTGTATTGTCCACACGTGTGCAGTAAGCAAGCCGACCAGGTGAGAATCCTGGCATAAGAACCTTCACTTTATCTACACAGGCCAAGTGCTAGAATCCCATCGGCCTCAGGGCAAGTCTGCATGCCGCAAGCCGGTCTCTGCCCCTGGGCCTCTCTGCCTGCGCAGCCATCTCAGTCTCTGTCCTCGGCGCTGCCACCACTCCAGCCTCTGCTCTTCTGCAGCCCTGCAGCCCAGAGCACTGGGTGGAGCTCTTTATATTGAGTCATTAATAACTTATTGCCCACATGCATGCAGTGAGCAAGCTGACCAGGGGCAGGTGAAAATCCTGGCCGTAGGAACTTTCATTTTCTCTACAGTAGGATTCAGTTTCTCACGGACTATGGGCCTGAGGGTCTTAGTTCTAGGCTTGCTGTAGACCCAAAGCTGCTCTCTGTTCCTTTCCACATGGGCCTCTCCTTGGGGCAGCTCACAACAGGGCGGCTGGCTTCACCAGAGCTAGAGCAAAAGTGAAGGCAAGGGAGAGTGAGGGGCCCAGCTCCTGCCTATAATCCCGTAGGCCCTTCCAGGCCTGGCCTCAGGCGATTGTGGAGGCTTCCTGGGCAGGGGGGCTGCCCTCCACACACCAGCCTCGGTACCAATCAGCGCGCTGCAGTGTCAGGGCACAGGAGCGTCTCCGGCAAGGCTCCTTCACCGCACCCCGCGCACCCTCATTCCTCCGTCTCTTTGGATTCTCTCCAGGTGCCTCTGCTGAGGCCTCCTTATGGAGGGAGGAGGGGAAGCCCTGAGGACACTCCCCACCCACCCCACCCCGCTACTCAGCACTTCTCTACTCCACCCTCCCCACCACACACACCTGAGGGCTCCCCCCACTGTGCACTGATGCACCTGGCCCTGCACCACCTCCATTCCTGGGGAAGACGGGAGCGGGGTGATTCCGCGTCCTTCAGCTTGTGAGGGTCCTTAGGCCCTCACGGTGAGAAGAGGCTTAACTCTTTCATTTTTGGTTTGTTGCTTTGATCTGCTCCTCAGCACCCAACAGCTCAGCTCTCCCTTGCCCAGCTCAGTTGAGCTCCTGACACAAGCAGATGTGAGCATGACCGAAGTCACAAGTTTGGGAACCTATTCTCAGAGGTGATATCCCGTCACTTTGGCTACATTCTGTTTGTTAGAATCAGTCACTTGGTCCAGACTACACTCAACAGGAGGGATTACACATGTGATCTCCATGAGGGGGGATCACAGGAGGCTATATTCCAGGTTTAGATACAGTATATAGTAGATAAATTTGTATCCAAATTCAAATTGCCCCATCCAGCCAATTAATAAAAGGGAAAACCCATCTGTCTTGCCGATGGGGCTTCAGCCCCCAGCAAGTTCACTAGGGATTCAGTGAGACCGAGGAATGACAATGGAACGTTCCTGGGGTACAAGGGTTTATTACCTGGCTTGATCTCCTGGTGACAGGTTGAGCACTAGAATTACGTCTGCACCCAGCAGTCCGCAGGTCCGTAATCCTCCTCCTTCGTCTCTGTCTCCACCCCTAGACCTGGGCAGAGCTCTTTATATAGTGACTCCGTCAAGACTAGCTTATTGCCTACGGGTGTGGAAGCAGTAGCCTAGCAGCAGGCCAGTTACATCATCAAGTAGTTTAGGTTCAGGTGAGGATCCTGCCATTGGAACCCCAACTTACCTCACACCATGTAAAGATAAAATCATAAATATAGCATAATATAAAGGAAAATCTGAGGCTTTTATCCAGGCATTGCACTAGCTGCAGCCTACTCTGGTCGTTACCAAGATCACACTGCTCAGACCTGAAAACCCAATGGCCATCATTCCATCCCCAGGAAACAGACACATTAACATATAAGCAAAATCCTACACTGAACTATAAAGTGAGACTAGAATCTGCCATTTCAATAAAGAAGAATAATTTTTCACCTAACCTCAACTATGGGAATGACTCAAAGCAAGCCCAAAGTTGGACTTTTTTCAGTGGGTTTATGTAGACACCTTAAACATTCTTGCAGGAGGATCAAGTTCCCCAACACCTGGCCTTTCTCCTCTTGATGCTCAGTGAATCTGCTCCTTCCTAAGAATGACCAGACACAACTTCCTTGCCTGTAGCCCCCACCAACCCCATGTGGTACATATGCAGGTCACTCCCTTTTTCTTCCTTTGTAGGTATAAACTGCTCACACAGAAGGGCTGTATCCTGGTCTTCAACACCTGAGGGCAAGGAGATAAGGGCCATTCTGGGTAGAGAAGAAAATAATTCAGTTGACCTTAAGCTTCCTGATTTGAAGATACGTGGATAACAGCTGACGCTCCAGACAGCAAGCAGGGCCATTTGATTTGTAGTTTCACTGGCAAAAGATTAAGGGCAACATTTTCAAAAGCAAAGTGAAAACCTTCTGTATGACATGCTTTGTGTCTCTGTTTTTTCAGACTTCTTTTAATGTATAGATTAAACAGAGCTTACATTCCAACATACCCCATGCCTCACCCAAACCAAATGTCAATAAAAAGTGTGTTAAAAATAAATAATGCTGCTGAGAGGCAGAGAAATGACAAACATATAACAAAATTACTATTTGATGAAAGCAATTACCGTCGAGGAATAGCAAATAGTTGGAAAAATGACTTCAGTCTCTGGTCTCAGACTTCCTCTTATTTTCATCATTTCATTTCATTTCACAAGAAGACACAAATTAAATTAAATCTGTGGAGGAGTGAAAGGATTAAAAGTAGATCTGTAGATTTTGACCAGGCATAAAATGGAAGTTCTCTCATTGACTTCTTGTTTGTGCAAACTTTGTCTCTGGGCATCCCTGTCTCATCTTATCCCTACACTGAGCTGCCCTTTAGTTCTCTGCTTTAGGTAGCATCGGAAAGTACTAGATGATATTAAAAGGATGCAGTGACATCAATAGCAAGGGCTTATTTCTTATCAGGCTTTTAGATGCCATCATCAAAGACACCCTTTAGGGGCAGGTAATTTACAATTAACAAGGCCAGGATTGGAGCCATTTAAATCCTCTGAGCAGAGAGCACCTGATTTATAGAAGTGGGTAATCCCCAAGGGAGCAGGAGCTCCAGCTGAGGGTGAACTGATCACAGGTTCTTTTTGGCCCTTTTCCTGCCTCCCCAGACTCCATTAAAATGATGGGGAAAGTATAAGTATTTTAACCCATAACAACAAAAGTAAAATGGATGGAAGAGCCTTAGAGCTTGAGAAATCTCAACAGATTTCTGGAAGATAGGGTGACAGAGGAGCAGTAAGACATGAAGGATGGGGGGAACCACACATTGCATGGATAAGACTCCCCACTGTGGTAGAGAAATGCCACCCATGCTGCAGAATCCCAGGTGGGATCAGGATTTTGAAAGCCAAGAGAAATTAGAAAGACTAAATAAGTGATGGGGCTGAAAAAAGAGGAAGGTGAATTGAAAGTCTGTAAGAACTTATTCCCCTTCCCATATCTCCATCAGCCCAGCCTTTACACAGCAAACAGGCACAATCCCATGGCCGCCCATTTCACCCCACCCCAAGCAAAACTGTGCAGGATTCATGTCTTAAAGAATGGAAATTGTGCAGAGAATACAAGAATGTATATGGCTACGGGCACTCTAGAATGAAAACTGCATTCTGGTAATAGGGCACCATTCAGCATGTGTTAGGGCATAATATTATCTCCCTGTTGGGTAA